TCTATTCCACAAGGAGAAGTGGTTTCAGGGTTTTTTCAGGGTCATTATAACAAATGTCCCAGAGCTTTTAAGCCCAAGGCTTGTCACCAGTCCATAGAGTGGACACCAAATAAACCAGCAGCAAAAAAAGCATAGGTGAAAAAATGGATCAAAGGGGCCTTAAAAAAACCCATTGAAGGCAAAAGTGCAAGGAACCTGATGGTTCGTCACTTGTTGGAGTGTCCCAGATAGCATGCATGTCACGCCGATCACACAGATTGCAAAGACTCACATGAAGTACAATGGAAAACTAGCGCTGGCGCAGCTATGGCTGCCTTCCCTCCAGCCAGCGCTCACTTCTTCCCTCTCACATAGTGCTGCTCTTCAGCCTAGCGCAGCTCACACACATCTGGCGCACAAGTGCCACGGCACTTCCACACTCTCATGCGAAATGAGCATCTGCCAAATGAGGAGGCTGGCCAGTCCTTTATAGCACTGGACTGGTCTGGCGAGGTCTGAACTTGGCCTCCAGAGTCTGGGACTCCTGCCCAGTACCTGTTGTTGCAAAGTGTGTGTCCCAGTATCTTTTCCCATGGTCTGCTGCTGCTTTTGGACATCGGCCTGTCTTTTGGACTCCTGGTCTGAATCAGGACTGACCCGTGAGACTGTGACTGGACTGGGACTGTGGCCTTTGACTTATTGCCGAACAGACATGACTTATCGTCAAACAGACATGACTCTGTCTCAGCCTCAAAGTCTGTGTTCAGTTCCTGTTAGTCTAGGACCTGTCCGTGACTGTTCAAAACGACTTTTCACTTCATTCTGGATGCGACATATAACTCAGGAGCTTGTCTTTCGGAATGTTGCTCGTGAAATTCAGTTCTGGCCGAGAGGGCCCCTTTTGCTGGGGTCACATTTACGGGTCTGAATCGTAAAGGCCCTTTCAAAAGTGTGTTTTCATGCAAAATTCGCTCTTTTCAGGATTTTCAGGATTTCCAGGGCTGGCCAAAACAGTCGTCTCCAAGACTCCAACACACACCAAACTCCGCACACGCAGACCTTGACCCAAAATAAAACAGGGCAAAAAAAAAAAAAGAAGCTGAAAAAAATTATCCTTTAAAAAGTCACTCTCTGGGTCAGATATCGTGTGCAATACCCCAGAATGTCACGCTGCTCACACATATTTAATTATCGTTTTTTTTTCCTTTTTCTTTTTTTTTTTCTTTTTTTTTTTTGCTCCGGTTCACCGCTGAAGAGGGCTCTCTGTTCCACAAGTCGAGAGATCAAAGCTTAAAAGATTTAAAATTCACTCTCTGGGTCAGATATCGTGTGCAATACCCCAAAATTCACCATCTCCGAATGCGTGCACTGGTACCAATGAACAGTTCATGCATTTGCATTGTGTCCTTTTTTTTTTTTTTTTTYTTAATACATGCAACATCACGAGGGAGGGAGAGCCTGATAATGGAGTTGGTATGAGTAATTGGAACTGAATTTTGAGAAATAAATAAAAAAAATAAAATAACAAAATAATGGAGTTGGTAGGATCAACCTCCATTAGCAGATCCCACAGGCTCCAATCTATGGGTGGGGAGCTGCACCTGAAGGGAAACCATTTGCATTCTGTTCTCCTTCTTTCCACCCACTTTATGCCATTTGCAGTCTGCAGGGGGAAGGGCGTCAGTTTTTTTTTGTTATCAGATCCCCCTGTGCAAGGAAGTCTCAGACCCACTTTAGCTCATGGAGGTTATCATCAAACACCCATCCATGTCTCTTTTTTTTTTTTTTTTTCAACCATTTTATATTCTGGGTGTACCAGTCCGGTTACTTATCACGGGCAAGCATAAAGGACAATAAAACAGTCAAAGCCAGAGGCATCATAATCAACCAAAAACCGCATTCTGAGCAGCGGGAGACTACCGAGAGTACCCAGTCCTACTCAGCAATCCTGGGCCACTACATAGCATAGCCCTGACTACCTAGGCTACCCCCTGGCCGCCCGGGTCACCCTCTTTTCCCGCCGGCCGTGCAAGGACTAGGGAAGGTCCCAGCCAAAAGAAGAAAAAAAAAAAAAAACATCCAAAACGCATCATAATGAACCAAAAACCGCATTCCGAGCAGCGGGAGACTACCGAGAGTACCCAGTCCTGCTCAGCAATCAAGGCCACTACAAAGCATAGCCCTGACTACCTAGGCTACCAGCCGGGCCGCCCGGGTCACCCTATTTTCCTGGGCGTTCCGGCCGTGCAAGGACTGGGGAAGGTCCCAGCCAAAAAAAAAAAAAAAAAAAAAAAAATCCGAAAAAAAACTATGTTATGACCTAGGCTACTAGCCGGGCCGCCCGGGTCACCCTATTGTCCCGGACGGCCCGGCCGTGCAAGGCCCAGGGAAGGTCCTAGCCAAAAAAAAAAAAAAAAANAAAAAAAAAAAAAAACAAATAAAAAAAAACTGTGTTATGCAGACAAATAAACTGAACAACTTTTGCCTCAGGGTCACATCGAATTTCCTTACCAAATTTAAAATAAAAAATAAAGTTATTTTTTCATTTTTTTTTGGCCCGGCCGGGCAACTGGCCCCGGGTCACCCTGGTAGCCTAGGTTATGACAGTTATGCAGAAAAATAAACTGAACAACTTTTGCCTCAGGGTCCCCTAGCCGGTATCGCCCACCTGCAGGTCGGGAGCAGCCCCCGCATGTTCTCTCGTGAACACGGTTCTGGCGGCTGCTACGGGGTTCCCCGTATGCCTACAATTAGGAGTAGTGGTAGGTAGGTAGTGTGAGGTGAAATTGAGAGAAGAATATAGCTTTGAAAAAAAAAAAAAAAAAAAAAAAATCTTTACCAAATTTAAATTAAAATCTAGGCTACCAGAGTGGCCCGGGGTCACTTGCCCGGCCGGGCCAAAAAGATTTTAAAAATAAAAAAACTAAGAAATATTTTAAAGTTTTATTTTACATTTTAAATTTGGTAAAGAATTTCGATGTGACCCTGAGGCAAAAGTTGTTCAGTTTCTTTTTCTGCATAACATAGTTTTTTTTGGATTTTTTTCTTTTGGCCCAGCTGGGCAAGTGGACCCGTGCCCAGCTATGTTCTTCTCTCAATTTCACCTCACACTACCTACCTACCACTACTCCTAATTGTAGGCATACGGGGAACCTCATAGCAGCCAGAACCGTGTTCACGAAAGAACATGCGGGGGCTGCTCCTGACCTGCAGGTGGGCGATACTGGCTAGGGGACAGCTGGTACCTGTTTTCTCCACTAAGCAACCATAACCGAGAATAATTGAAAAGAAAAAGCTATAATTTTTCGGGATAATTTGCAAAACACCCCCATAAGTTGAGATATATTCCAAAATGCCCCTAAAAGATGCGCTTAGACAGGAATGCCCCTCTGACAAAAAAAATATTTTGTGAAATACCCCTGGCGTCGGTTGCAACCCCATCCTTGCAATATACCCCTACCGGGTACTGCCGAACTTTGCAAAATGCCCCAGTTGTTGCCAACTCCTCCTAGGTGCTATTGCAAAAGGCCAAGGTCCAGATTGCGAAGTTGCACACCCCCCTGACAGGGGCACAACACAAAGATTTCAGCCCAAAAGGGCATTCCACTCTACCCACATCTTTCAGGGGCATTTTGGCATGTATCTCAACTTATGAGGGTATTTTGCAAATTATCCCTAAATTTTTACAATAGTAGGGGGAAAAAAAAAAACTACAGCAGTGATCAGCAGTGGGCAAGTGGTAACTCACGAGACAGGCCCTCGGGGGGGTAAGTAAGGGCCTCACAATATGGGGCTCGTTAGACACTCCTCGGGCGCGTAAAGTCCCCGAGGAATTGTTCGTTCCACCTATCCTCGAGGATGCACTCAGAAAAAAAAGGTGAAAACACTCCGAAGGAAATTCCTTGGGCTCCGAGGATTCCCCAGCCATTTCTTCCTTTTGCCCAAGGGACCTCACGAGGTCCCTTGGGCAAAAGGAATCCGCGTTTCACGGAGAGGAGCGGGCACATGGGTAGAGAGACGTTAGATCGTGGCGGCACCCTATTGGCTGAAGGCCTCAAGCACATTTGATTTTTTTTTTCTTTTCTTTTTTCTTTTCTGACATCGCTCGAAGGAAATGTCCTCGGGCGATGTCCCTGAGGACAGGTGGAACGAAGTGCCCAAATTTCCTTTTGAACCAAAAGGAATTTTTCCTTGTGCCCGAGGATTTCAATAGGAGTGTCTAACGAGCCCCTATCAGAACAATAACAGGACAAGTGCTCGTGCAATCGGGCTTGCTTGCATGACGTCTGCTTCAACCAGGGCTGAGCAGGGGGGTAGGTGTCTCTGCTTAGCCCAGGTGCCTGCAACCGCTGTCTGGTCAAGTCACCCCAATAAGATGGTGATGGGTGATGGTTCCCAGTGGTTAACACTAGGGTAGGACAGTGGGGGTGGGGGTGTCCCAGGGCAAAAAAAAGATGAGAGGAAGGGTGGGTGGGTGGGGTCTTCAGAGGGGTTCAGCTGGACAACCGAGTGGCCGAGTACTGTGGGTGACTGCCATCGGTCTAGCATCCCACCTCTTCAACAACCTGGGCTTTATATAATAAAAATAATAATAATCCTATTGCGAGGCATAAGGCCTCGATACACCCTACTGGGCCCTATTTTCAGCACAGTCGGCCGCCCTAAGTGAAGGCAGGCTCGACCGAGGCCTACAGGCCATTTTTGGGCTCACTACGCAACTGGGGAAATTCAGGCAGTTGCGCAGCGCCAGTTGGTTGGAAGCACCCACGCCCAGGCTGCCTTTCATCGTATGTAACTGAGGCAGGCCCTGGGCCGGATACACAACATGGACCGAACGAAGGCTGAGGGCGGTTGGGCACTAGTAACCACCACAGGCCCTGGGCCTGTCTCCTCTGGACTGAGGCTCAGCCTCGTGGGGCCTACCGGAAGCTTCTGGACCGGGGCCCAGTACCGCATTACGGCACGCAGCAGCAGGCCAGTTCGATATAGGGAAGGGCCTGCCCACGCATTGAAAATTCGGGCACTGGCTGCATGCTGCGCTAACGCTGGCCAGCGCTCAAGTGCTCACGGGCGAACTGGAAGGAGCAGGCAGCCATAGGCGAGCTGCGCTGCTGTATGCTGGATGGGGCGCATGGTGGTCTTTGGGTGCATGTGGCATCTGTGAGTTGGGGATCGAGGTTGTGAGTGATACAAGAGAGATACCTGGTGTTTGAGGCGAACGGCATTGGCCGAGATCTGCTCGTACTTCGGGGAGCTGTTGAGGTCATTGGCAGCATTGTAGATAGGCTAGATAGGGTCTGCCATTTGTAGTTTGGACGCCGAGCGCCAGATAGGATATCGGCATTGGTTCTTCGTTGATGATGATGAGACTATTCCAGCATTGTCAATTATGAGCTTTTGCTCTGCTCTTATTTGGTGGAACTCATGATGCAATTCTGCTATTGGTTCGAGGTCACGACTATCTGGTCTCCTGTGTATGATGCTGTTTGATTTCTGAAGTTCGCTATCACTCATTTTCTTTGCACTATCCCTTAAGCAGCATTGGCTGTGGGGGGGAGGTCGATGACGCGCTGCGCACCAGATTCAGATCGAGGGGTGGCGGATGAAGGCGATCGAGGGCGGGGGAGTGTGCAGAGGCGTGCATGTACCGAAATGTTCACAGCGCGCCATTAAACGAGAGCGAGCTCCCGGGGGCGGGGCACACGGCTGGCATTGATGCGGACGAACATCTTGGAGGCGAGCCACCCGATATACGGGCGGCTTTTTTTTTTTTTTTGTTTTGCCCGGTTGGCCGTCGTTTTGTGTCTCCCTTCTCCTTCTTTCATTTCTCGCGCCTGTCGTTTTGTGTCCCCCCCTTTTTTTTCCCTTCCTTCCTTTTTCATTTCTCGCGCGGCTGTCGTTTTGCGTCCCCCGGTAGGCCATCGTTGTTTCTGTGGACGAACATCTTGGACGCGAGCCGTCCAAAATGCAGTGTGAGGTCAGCTACTGCATTTGTTATTTCTGCAGGTGTAGCCCGCACCGCCCGCACCGCGGGCACTTAGCTAGTAATAATAAAAGAAGTTGCCTAAAACACATTCTATAAAAACGAGTTCCAATTGCACCATGGGGCAAGATACAGTTTGCAATTGCACTACGGGCACCCTACCTGGCCAGAAAGCTGGGTTGTATACATTGCCCGAACTGCAGTTGGAAACTGTATCTTGGCCCATAGTACAACTCTAACTCCTTTTTGTGACTCCCGGCTACTTTCCCCTTAATTCAGCCTATGTACCTGCACAAGCCAGAATCAAATTTTATTTAATCCCTGCTACTACCTATTCCTAATTACCTACTCATTTTTCATGATTTTTGTGACTCCTGCCTACTTTCCCCTAATTACCTACCAAGGCACTGCAGAGAAAGACGGACCCCCTCCGGAGAAAAAGATTCCTCAGGAGAGGCTGGATGGGCCTGGACCATAAGAGCAGGCCCAAATTGGTAACGCTTAAGAGTTAAAATCGAAAAGTGACAAAATTGGGGAAGGAGCCCATGCTGGTGCTATTACGAATGTAGGGTGATGCACGATCATGCACCTGACCTCAATTAGGACCACAGAGAAGAGGCAAAAAAACCTTCAAAAGAGTCCTGGTGTGAATAAGTCAAAACCATGTAATGAATACATGCACTTTCCTGAATTTTTTTTTATTTTTTATTTTTTTGTAAATACGAGCTTTCCTCTCAGAGTATAATTCTGCAGTCAAGAGCTCCAACTCGTTGATTGAACATTTACTTTGGTAATAGATCACGCTCCCTAGCGCCAAGAACTGGTTTTTCCAGAAAAATAATAATAATAATAATAAATCATGTACCTGTCTATCTTCGTTATACTCGACAATGGCATCGCTGAGTGCCCACAGCAGGTCCTTGTTGAACAGCCTCAGGCAAATCATTTGTGGGTACATCACTACCCCTCTGATCTTGGAGCGATGAAGGAGGTCCCAGGATGCCCCTGATGTCAAAATGTTCACCAGCTCACTTTTTCTTCTTTCCGGTCCGACGACATGCTCCACTTTTCCCACTTCAAAGGCTCTGGTTTCTGCGGAAATGATATATAAATAGTAAATAGTAAATACACATATTCATACATTAGGGTTCAGCCTCCTGATGAATGGACAACAAGACAGTCACTCACAGCCCCTCGTTTTTGCCCTCGTCTCCCTCTTTGCCTAAAGGTTCAACCGGCAGTTCTCTGTGACAATATTTGTTTGATGAAATCCTATCCCTTAAGCAGCATTGGCCGCGGGGGGAGGTCCATGACACGCTGCGCACCGAATTCGGGTCGAAGAATTCGGGTCGAAGTGTTGGTGAGGGGCGGCGGATGAAGGCGATCGAGGGCGGGGGAGTGTGCAGAGGGCTGCGCGTACCGAAATGTTCACAGCGCACCATTAAACGAGAGTGTGCGGTCCGGGGGCGGGGAACACAATTGGCGTTGATGCGTACAAACATCTTGGAGGTGAGCCATCCGAAATGCAGTGTGAGGTCACCCACTGCAATTCTTATTTCGAAGGGCGTAGCCCGCACCGCCCACACCTAGCTAGTATTATATACATTGTCTTTTTCTTTATCTTCTTGCCTTTTTTTCTCCCTTTATTCTTTTGGGAAAATTTTTCAAAATGCCCCTGAAATTTCCATTTATTTGCGATTTCCCTCTCTGATGGCCTACTTACTCTGATTTGCCCCTCTGACAGCCTACTTACCCTGGTTTGCACCTCTGACGGCCTACTTACCCTGATTTGCACCTCTGACAACGATTCAAGTTTCCAAAAAAAACTGGCTTCATTTGGGCCTGAAATCTGCTCAATATGCCCCTACCGATACCGGTGCCAAATTTCCAGTATGCCCCTACCGAATGGCCGTTGAGTACCAGAACAATAATTTTCCATATGCCCCTACCGGTACCGTGCGTCTTTTCAGTATGCCCCTGTGACCGTTGCCAGCAGTCACGGCCGTTCCCCTGGCCCTGGGAGGGGAGCTACCGGGGCATATCACAAAATTTCCCACGGCCCCATCTTTCTGCTGCACCCTCCATTGTTTTCCATGGAATTGGGCCTCCGTGGCTGGGCATTTGAGGCCTGTCCGGCCTCCCTGTCATGCATATCCTGGTTCTGCTCTCTCTCTCTCTCTCTCTCTCTCTCTCTCTCTCTCTCTCTCTCTCTCTCTCTCTCTCTCTCTCTCTCTCTCTCTCTCCCTCCCCCCCCACATGCACACACACCTTTTATTGTCTTCTTCGCGGGCGTGACAAACATTCTGCACATCGTGGTTCTGCTCACTCTCTCTCTCTCTCTCTCTCTCTCTCTCTCTCCCCACATGCACACACACCTTTTATTGTCTACTTCGCGGGCGTGACAAACATTCTGCACATCGTGGTTCTGCTCTCTCTCTCTCTCTCTCTCTCCACACACACACACACCTTTTGTTGTCTACTTTGCGGGTGTGACAAACATTATGGACCCAACCTGATGTGCACCATGGCAGTTCGTGAGTTGCAGCTGGTGACGAACACTTCCACCAATCCTGGTCCCTCTGCGGGCGTGACAAACATTCTGGACCCGAACTGATGAGCACCATGGCAGTTCGTGAGGGGAAGGAGGCGGACGGGGGAAGTTTCAAATGTCAAGCGATTGGGAAAACAGTGAAGGAGGAGGAAGACGACAATGTCATGGGAGGAGAGAGAGAAGCCAACGTGGGGAGGAAGGAGGGCTGGAGGAGGAGGATGAGGAGGAACGAGCACTGGAAGCGCATCGCTATGGAGTACAAAGGGGCCAACGTGTCTGCTGGAACAGGCTGCGGTCTGACGAACGCCGTAGGCAAGGGGATGCAGTTGGATGAAGATGGTTCTCACCCCTGCCTTCGTCAGCGGCGCCAAAAGAAAAAGGTAAAAAGGAAGGGTACTGATCCTCCCCACTACGGAAATGCAGCCATTGCCACCATAAGGAATATTGAGGACCTGTTTTTTTTGTAACAAAAAAAAAAAGAGAAAAAAAGAACTACTAGCACAAAATCTAACGGCGAAGGGAGGTTCCCTCTCTCGGTGGAGCGAGGTAACGAGGTAGAAAGATATGCGTGCAGGGGGCGTCCACTGTATACCCTCAGGAGTAGTGGTAGGTAGGTAATGAAAAAAAGATGGGGTGACTTCAGTAGAGTCACAAAAACGAGTTATCATTGCACTATGGGGCAAGATACAGTTTGCAATTGCATGTTCCACGACATGGCAGAATGCCAAATATATGAGGTGAGAGGAAAACATATGGCTGCCCCCCAATGAGGACAAGGCAGCTTTAAAAATAAAATTAAAAAAATAAAATTAAATAAAATAAATAAATAAATAAAAACCTAATGGCGATGGGGCTCGCCACACCACTGTGGAAACGAAAAAAAAAACGAAATTCAATGTACCTTGCGCAGAAAGTGGTAAGATGCATCCTTTGCTATTCATAGTAACAGATGCATATTGCCATTCTCTGCGGGAAGATGCACTCACACTATCATACTTTTTTCGTTTCTACAGTCGTGTGGCAAGGCCCAAAATCTGTAGCTCATTGTGAACCTCAACCCACAGTTCTTTTTTTTTTTTTTTTTTTATATATAACCCACAGTTTCCCTGTAATATGGAGCCACATAGCACAAAATCTAATGGCTTTATCTCCCCATTGAAAGGACCTTGATGTGGACAGGGACTGGAAGATAGCCATGATGACGG